TTGCAGTGCTCAGCTCTTTTTTTTCCCCTCATTTCCCCTGCTGACCAGCCCCAGAGAAGTCCCACAGCACATGATATCAGTGCCCTGACAGTCTGCTGCTTATGGGAAATGTCATTTTACAATGTAACTTATTATTTTTAACTAAAGGTTTATGATTTTCTACAAGGATCCATTGTTTTAAGCCACGTAGCCAACATGTGTTTCTTGAGGTATCACTTACCTTTTAAGCAAGTAGCAGTTGAGTTTTGGTCAAGCCAGGCTTGGCTGTCTCTGGATTCCTACAATTATTCTGTCCTGGTAACCTGATACAGCCCAACAAGGGAAGAACAGAAAGAAAAGCCTTTTAATTTATGGTGGGTCTCAGTTCTAATCTTGTAGTTACATAGACTTCGACTTTACCGTGAATCATTTTTAATGACAGCTGAAGAGAAAAGAATTGAAAAGCAAATCTTACCTTTCTCATCACTGGCAGCTTCTCATAACAAATCAGACTTTTTTATGGCACAGCCCTGCAGTGTGGGTATGATGCACACGAAGGGCTGTCCAGCAGGAGAGCAGAGCCTTTTCCTGCCTAGCACAAGATAGATCTTTGCAGAAGCAACTTCAGAGCTGTCTGTGAGCTGCAGTTTTTCAGCTTGTGGAGTCCTAAACATTGTTCGTGGAGTCTCTCATAAGGAAACTTGTGTTTCCTCATAAGAAACTTGACTTTCTTGGTCACCTTTTAGAAGGCCTTTAGAAGTTCTCCAGGAACATGCCTGGAAAAAAGGGAGGAAAAAGTTGATGTCGGAAGCCCTCATGGACTTGAATGTAGCCAGAATGTCCCTCCTTCCCTCCAGCGAGCCTGGTGACATCTGCATGTAAAGAGAGATCACTGAGGGGGCTTGGGGGTCACCAGTTACAGCCCTAAGGCCACCAGAGCTCAAGGAGTGTTTGGACAACGCTCTTGGGGACAGGGTGGGATTGTTGGGGTGTCTGTGCAGGGCCAGGAGTTGGACTCAATGGTCCTTGTGGTTCCTTCCAATTGAGGATGTTCTATGATTCTATTTGCTTTGGAGCCCATGCTGTTGGTCAGAAAAGAAAACGATCTGCAGCAATTGCTGGTTTGGTGGTTTGATCCCCGTATGGGCCATTCACTCTAGAGTTGGACTCGATGATCCTCGTGGGTCCCTTCCAACTCCGAATATTCTGTGATTCTCTGTGATCTTGCCAAGAGAACTGATTTAAAGAGTCACCCTTCTTCAGCAGAGCCCATGGCTGTGCAGTCAGTAGTCAAAAGGCAGCAGTTTAATGCTGATCCCCCGAGCGGGGCAGGAGAAGGCACCGTCAGAGCTGCTGCTGTGGTGCCCAGTGGAGTTAACAGAGAGATGCTCTCACTGTAATTGGATACTGGCAGTATCCTGCAGTGCATCTACGTGGCAACTTCCCATCAGCACTACCGTGGCTTTCTGAAAGCTCCTCTCTTTTCCTGGCATGGTCACTCCTCATTGGTGCTGTTGGGAACTCCCCACACCGAGCTCTGGGCGTGTCACTGGCCACGGCAAGACCCTGGGCCAGGCTGGAGCTTTTCAGTGCTGCTGAAACAAAACTACGACATTTCTTGGAGCCCAGAGGAGCAATGAGATGCCCTGCATAGCATGAATCCCACATCACCACAGACTTTGCTTGGCTTCTGTCCTTCTTGCGTTTCCTCCATGACCTCCAACTTTTTCCTGTATGGAGACATGATTCCAACTTAGGTTGGCTACACGCTGTGTTCTTTCTGACACATTTTGACAAATTGGGTTTGATTTTACCCTGGAGGTCTTTCCAGACTTAATTTTATGATTGTGGAAGGTCATCAAAAGGGTAGTGCTATTTAAAGACCAAATTGTGTCACATTTACTCACGGGACTAATGCTCTTTTTCTTGAAGATGTCCATTCATTTCAGTGGAACTACACATGGAGTTAATGGCACCAGTTGTAAGCAGAGGCACTGGAGCCTGTCTTACTCATCTGAGTGGACTACTCAGAGAGTGAAAGTCAAGTCCTTGTCCTTGCCATTGATTTACCAGCCCCTGTTATTAGGAGGTGGTTTTCTGGCCCCCTCTAGTGACTGCCCACATGGGGATTTACGAGTGAGATCCAACCTTTTTGCAATCAGAAACAGCCATTTCCACCCCAAGAGTAAATGGCCTAAATTTTAGAAGTGGCATTTAAAATTCTGAGTTTGTTCCCCTTTGCTCACAACACTCTCAGGAGCATCACATTTCCAACCTGGTGGATCACATTTCCAATCTGGTGGGGCTTCTTATGGCACTGGGAATTGCTCACAGTGGTTAAAGGTGAGGTAATTCATACTGATGTTAATGTGGTGGCACAGCCCTGGTTATACTCCCATAGTCCAAAGGTTCACGGTCCTTAATGGAAGTTGGATGTTTTTGGGGTTACAGCTGCAGTACCAAAGGGAGAGCCACGAGTTCAATCAGAGAATCATTTAGGTTGGAAAAGCCCTCTGAGATCATCGAGTCCAACCATTCCCCCATCACTGCCAGGCCCATCACTAACCCATGTTCCCAAGAGCCACATCCACAGGGCTTTTGAGCACTTCCAGGGATGGGGACTCCACCACTTCCCTGGCTATCCTGTGCCACTGCCTGAGCACCCTTTTCATGAAGAAATTTTCCCTGATATCCAATCTACACTTCCCCTGGCACAGCTTGAGGCCTTTTCCCTTTATCCAGTCCCTTGTTCCTTGGGAGCAGAGTCTGATATCCCCCCAGCTCCTCCCTCCTGTCAGGGAATTGCAGAGCCAGAAGGTCCCCCCTGAGCCTCCTTTTCTCCAGGCTGAGCCCCCCCAGCTCCCTCATCTGCTCCTCTGTGAATCAGAATGTGTGACCTACTGAATTACAGTGAAACCTGGGGTAAGACTTGGAGTTAATATTGAAAAGGTATTTTTCAAAGACTTTCTTTTTCTTATTCTTTTCATACTACTGGAACTGCAAAAGGAATCTCATTTAAAATATGAATTAGAAATTTTATACTTCTTATGGCTCTGTGTTCTTGAGAAGCAGATACTTATCACAGGCTGGTTTTCTTGGGGGAGTGTGCAATGAGCTTTTGGAACAGGTTTCCTACTTTTTGGCTAATGAGGAGTGGGACAATTATTTATTCCAAGAAGTTGGAGCAAGGTTGGCAGCCTGGGGGTAGACCTGAAAGAACGGTAACACTTTAGGCTTTAGTTGCTCTGAGATCCTTTAGAAACAACTGCCTTGATCTTTTAGTGCCCTGGTAAATCATTTATTCTGATCACTCACTTCAAATTCCCTCTCACCCATCCTATGGGATGGAAGGAGCTGGGTACAGAGCTCCTGACCATAACCCAGCAGGTGAACTGCAACAGTGCAGAGCTTCAGCCGGGCTCCCAGAGCACCTGGCAAAGCTCCTGGGTCAGGAGCAGCCCCAGAAATTCCAATTCCTCTGACAAACAGGGTGTCTGGAGCTGGAGGTTTTGGATGGGATTTCTCCCCTCTCAGGTTGCAGGCTGCAGCCAGGACACATGCTGTTGAACACACTGCATCCCCTCTGCCTCTCCCTCCTCCCACACTGTCTTGGTGCTCCCTGACAATCTGTTTCAATTCCCCTTCACTTCAGCATGACCAGGGTCCCCCGGGTTACCCAGTGATTCATCTCTCTGGAATTTGGGAGTGCTTCTTCTCTGCTCCTACCCAGACTGGCAAGGGGGTTATTAAAGCGTCAGAGATTAACCAGAACCTCTTTTGGTGAATATTTAGGTGAAGAGCACTTGATGCCAGACGTTATTTTACATGTGTGTTCTGACACCAGACTTCACTACTGCAGCTCATGTTTCTCTGTGTGCGTGGGTTTGAACACCTTTTCCAACTACAACCATATTAGAGGACCCCTGCTGCTTTGGGAATGTACATTGGGAATGACTTCAAGTGGAAGCGTGTTTGGATTGTCCTACTTCTATTTCTGAAGCCCTCTCAAGGGAGCTCGCTCTCTCTTCTCACCCCATCGCTTCCGATGGGGCCGAGTCATTGCATTCCGTGCGCGCACAGTGACACCTCAGAGAGACTTGGACTGTTCTCTTGTCTCACTTCCACTCTCTTCCAGGCTGGATGCACACCCTGGAGGTATGTGGTTTGTCTCAAGATATAAGACTTCCCCCTTCAGAAACTACATTACTTCAACAAGCCACAAAGGGCTGGCAAGAGGGAGAAGGATGCCCTTGTTAGCGCAGCTTTCCTGGGAGATCTCCTCTGTGGACTCCACGCAGCTGGAAACAGCCTCTCCCTCTCCTGAGCTCACGTGTGTGGGCAGACACACGTTCCCTCATGCAGCAGTTTCCCTGATGTGTGAGCACAGACACAAACACTTGCTTACAGATGCACAAATACCTTCCCTTTGTTGTCCTTGTGTGTGCGTGGAGAGGCGGAAATTCTCTGAGCGCACGTGATCGTCAGCCCCTGCAAACCCCAACCTGCTCTTCGTGCGGGTGCATCAGTGCCCCAGAGCACGTGCACCCCCCTCCTGCATGCCTAGATATAGGTGCATCTACACAGCCTGCAAAGGTGTTGCAGAATTTGGAGGGAGAGGTGAGCAAACTGAGCCTGAAGGGACCTCTTGAGGTTTAATCCAACCACTGTTCCAAGCAGGCTCACACTGAGTTCAGAAAAGGTTGCTCAGGGCTGTGTCCAGTCAGATGTTTAAAACCTCCTGAGTCAGAGATGTGATAGCCCTTTTTTTTTTCCTTATACCCAGGCAGAATCTTCACTCCTTCAATGTTTGTCCTTTTTTTGACCTTTATCCCCCTGCCACACACCTGAGCAAAGAGCCTGGGTCTGTCTCCCTATACATGCCATGTGATCAAGAAGGCTGCCATTAACTGCCCCTAAAACTTGAACAGGGTAGACAAACTCCCTTCTTTTAGCTTATCTCCACAGATCCAGCCCCTTGACTGTCTTCTTGGTGGCTCCCTGTTGCATTTGTTCAGGTTTATCAGCATCTTCCTTGTACTTGGAAGCTCACAACTGGGAATACACCAGATGGGATCTAACAACTCACAGAGGGATAACAGTTTCCCTCGAACTGTTGGCACAGGTCAGTGTGCTGTGAGCTCTCCTTGCTGCCAGGTGAGCCGGGTGTCCACATGCTCTTGGCTGGAATTGGAGTGATAACAAAATACTCAATACAAACCCCAAACACCAAGATTTGCCTTTTACCAGTCTGGACTCAGATTTAATGGATCTGAGACCTCAAACAGTTCCAGGACCCTCTCCAGGAGATCACAGCAGCTGATCCGGCTTTGGCAGAACAAGATGGATCAGATGACCTACCAGATCTCCTGCACATCTCATATTTTTTTGATGCAACCATTTTTGCTCCTTTTTTTTTTGTTTTGACCTTGGAGATTCACTGAACATTTTCCCTTTCCTGTATTTGGAGGGATTCAACCATTTGAAATCCTCCTTTCCCAGTGGCCAGTGTCCACACTGGTCACAACCATAACTGCCCAAATCACAGGTTTAAAATCTTGAAGTAGTTAATTTGAGGAAGAACCTAAGACTCCCTGGAGGCTCCTACATACCTTGTGAGGCACGTGCTGAAGGGAAAGGGTATTTTTTTTCAGCTTGTCTTCAAACCCCAGTTGGGAGACCCCCTGTTCATACACTTTCCAACTTAAAGCAGAAGAGAATCCTGAGTAGAGCCCTTCAGGTGAATGGGAAAAATGGAAATACAACTTCAAGATTTCATTTTGACAAAAAAAATCTAAAGGCATCTTTCACTTTTTCCAGACTTTTCCCATTTTTTGCAGTCAAAAGTATTTGCTAAATTTTGCAAATGCTATTGGATAATCCAAATCTGGCTAATCCAGTATTGTGGTGACTAAAATATGAGGCTAAAAAATTCACCCGGCGTCAGGTTGTGTTCTGTTTGTGAGGCTGATTTCATGTAACAGTAACTGTGGTGCAATCCAAGCACCTGCCAGGTGGGCATTAAGTGATGTGACCTCGTGACTGTCACAGTCAGCTCGGTTTCAAACCAGGAGAAAATCTGGAGCAGGGTGTAGTTTTTGGGGAGGTGTTCCTTTCTCATTGTGGTTCTTATCTTTTGGATGGGGGTCGTGGTAAAAGCTGAAGACCTGGCTACTCCCCTTCGCCACATTTTTGTGATTTATTTCTTTTTCTTTGCCATAAATCAGCCTGATGATGAGAAGATGACTTTATCCAGGAACTCTCCACCACTGCTGAAGGAGATAAAGGCTAAAGACTCTCATCTGTCCCCAAAAAGCAGGAAGCACAGCCATGGATGAGGTGAGCACAGCAGCCTGAAATGGCTTTGAGTGTTTTACTCGGTGCAGTGCAGGGACCACCAGTGTGCAGAAGTACGTGTTGTACTGGTGGTTAATCAGCAGATCATGGAATGGTGACCTAGGAATGCTTTCAGTCGTGGGCAGGTGTGGATTTGTATTTATGCACATCCGTTTTACCTACCTAAGGCTCAGAGTTGGGGAGACTCATTTTGGGTTTGCTCAAGACCAGTATTTGCTGGAATGACTTAAGATTGATAATATATTAATAGAAAATAGCAGTTCAGATCTATTATATATTTCCAAAGATGCTTACTTGTAAGACTTCAGTAACAATTATTTGTGAACTGTCTTTAAATTCACACAAATCTGAACACCCCTCTCTGTTCATGTTCCCGTGTGCACCCTCAGTGGGAAGTGCCTGAGGGCATCATGCACATGTGAGGAGGGATTTCTTATTTGGTGTGGACATCCTTCCACTCAGACAGTGCCAGGGAGATGTTCATAGAATCACAGACTGGTTTGGGTTGGAAAGGGACCTTAAAGTTCATTGAGTTCCACCCCCTGCCATGGGCAGGGACACCTCCCACTAGCCCAGGTTGCTCCAAGCCCCGTCCAACCTGGCCTTGGACACTTCCAGGGATCCAGGGGCAGCCACAGCTTCTCTGGGCAACCTGTGCCAGGGCCTCCCCACCCTCATAGGGAAGAATTCCTTCCCAGTATCCCATCTAACCCTGCCCTCTGGCAGTGGGAAGCCATTCCCCCTTTGTCCTGTCATTCCAACCCCTTGTAAAAAGTCTCTCTCCAACTTTCTTGTAGGCCCCCTTTAGGTACTGGAAGGCTGCTATAAGGTCTTCCCAGAGCCTTCTCTTCTCTGGGCTGAAAATGCTGTCCATGTTCATGGGCAGGGTTGCAGGCTGTGTTCACCTATGTCAGGATGTGCCTCTGTCATTGCACAGTTCCTCCAAACCGTCACACGGGTGCATTTTAGGACAGAACAAGCACTGGCCAATTCAGGAAGTGACACATGCTTTTACATTCAGGGGCCAAATCCAGATTTTCCCGCTGAAGCCAAAAGTATAAGCAACACAATTCCATGAGCATGTTGCCTCTGAGTGACAGTTTGAGTGCAGGGGGGTTACTGGGTTTGGCTGAGCTCTCTACTGCTCTGAAAAGAGCAGTTGATGCCCTTGACTAGCGAGTGATGCCAAGTGCCACATGTGTGATAATGGCCAGGGGCCTGGTCACTCTGCCCAGCCAGTCCCTGTGGATTTGGGTCTGGCCAGTAGCAGCCAGAATGCTTGGGAGACAAGTTTCTGTATGAAATTCTTCTCCAGTGGAAGGTATCCCTGCCTCTGGCAGGGGAATTGAATCGAGATGAGCTTTAACCCAAACCACTCTGTGATTCTATGTAATTTGTGCTGCTTCTCTGTAGGGACTAAAGGGTTAAATCTCTCCTTTGTCAAAAACTGTGACCCTGCAGGTTCCCAGGTTGCTGTTTGTGTGTGTGGATCTGGGTGTAGGGTGGGTTATCCTGCTGTTGGCAGGGCTGAATATGTGGGAGAGCAGAGCCTGGTCACACGTCTGTGTCGGTGCAGCTGTTGATGAACACGGGGGTGTTTGTGTCGGAGCTGTCTGGGGCAGGAGGTGCATGTGCTGTGTGTTATTCTCACATCCTTGCTAGCAGCAAACAATGTCACGTCCCTACCTGGACTGCAACGTGACATACACCTCAAAAACATCAGCAACAACAAGCTCCAGAGCCACAGGAGAAAGCAGAGCTGCTCTTTTTTGCTCATCAGCCAGGAAATCCTGCCAGCCCCGGCAAAGCATGCCGGGATCCAAACCGGCTTTTGGGCTGGGGCTGGAGGGGGGGAGCGAAAGAGAAGCAGTAATTTGTTTGCCATCGCCCTGGAGCCAGGAAATCCAAACCTCAAGCATTTCCCAGGCCACAGCACATGGGAGTTGAGGGAGAGTGTCAGCGAGTGGCTCCCAGGAGCACACCCACCCGCACACCCACGCACGCGTGTGCACACGCACGGGGAAGGGTCTCTGCTCTGGCACCACCGCCGCCGAGATGCTGAGACAATCTCGAGTTTTCAGGCCATAGCTGTCAGGATGCTTCGGTATATTCGTCACCCCCCACTCCATGGTGATAAAAATTTACACAGCCAACGAAACGAAGATTAATTTCATGTGAAAAGCTGACAGAATGGCCCATGTCATTGCTTTATTTGTGCCAGCACTCAGTAACTCGGTGCAAGTTCCATTGAGGTGGCAGACACCCCGTCCCCTTGAGCCATCTCGTCTCCTCTCTAATGATGCCACCGTTTTGACAAAACCAAGCAACGCAGCCGGTATGTGCGAATTTGGAATTAATTTTCCTCGGAAAGGTCAAGTATGTTAATGAGCTTTTGGCTGCCTGCGTTTTCTCTCTTGTGTTTTTCCCCCGTTAATGGGGGGAAGAGGGGAAGAAAAAAGAAGGGGGAGAAATAATTACAGAAATAAAAATGAAGGAATGAGGAAAAGAAAGAAGCTGGGAGGATTTGGAAGAGGCAGGATTCAGCGTGGTTTTTCAGGGGCTCTCCTTTTCCAGGACTGAGGCGGGCTAATTGTATCAGCGCAAGTCTGTGCAGTTTGCTTGGAGCTGTTGAGCGGGGCCAGGGATGTCATGGATAGCAGAGTTGGTGTAACCTGGCACGGAGGGGGTGAATTGCACCTCCTTTGCACTCAGGGACTGAAGGCAGCCCTGTGTGTTGGCAGCTGCCTTCGTTTTCCATCACAGAATGGCTGAGCTCGGCTCAACGCGGGGCTCTGTGTGCTGGGCGAGCAGAGAGCAAGGGAAGGTGAAGGAAAGAAGGATTTCCATTATGAGAGGAAGCTGGAAGAAAGCTCAGGTGCTCTGGGAGAAAGGCCAGGGCCCACTAATTCATCCAGCTTAGAAACAGGACAAATAGGCAGTTTAAAGAGAAATTGTCCATACAAATGGCATGAGATGATTGAACTAACTGTGATGCCAACCACCTCCCACCCCTGTGTTTCCCAAATTCCTGCCTTTATTCCTGCAAGTTAGAATTTGCCACTTTCTGGCATCCTCATGGCAGGAATTGCCTTGATATCTCAAGGGTTTGGGTGATGATCAACGGGAGGAAAGGTGATGAAAACAGCAGATGATGTGTCAGGGCATAAGGGAGCAAAGCTGAACTCCTGGCTATGTCACACATGAGTCACACTCACCTGGATAGGACATTTAAGGTAGGATTCATCTCACCTAATTTTAGTCTTCTTAAGCAAAGTATCCAGACTAAACTAATTGTCCAGGTTTCTCTTCTTGTTAACAGAGAGCAGTAAGGAGGAACACATATCCCACCTAATTTAAGATGAGAGAAATTCCATTCTGGCAAGGAGTTTCTTTCTCATTGAATATAAAGTGAACTTAAACAATTAGTTTGGACTGAACCTCTACCTTTTAGAGGCTTAAAATTATGGGGTGTGATTTCCTCCTCATTCTCTTCTCCCTGCTGCCATTCTGGCTCTTATTTCCGTGTAATCCTACAGGCAGAGGAAATCCAGTGGGTCTCATAGTGGCTGTATTGGCAGGGTAGGATCAATGCCTTTCCCTCAGCTTGCTCAGGCTGGCTCCATGCTTATCCACTCTTGTGGCAGCACAACCTTTGGCTGTGATCTGGTCCTTCCTGCCTCGCACTGCTGGAGCCAGCCCAGCACACGGAATCTTGGGCATTGTCCAGGAAGCCTTTGTTGACTTTGGAGGGCGCATGTTTTGCCATCCTGGCCACAGTGCAAGGAGAAATGATGTGCAATGTAACAGTGCCGGTGTCACATTTAAGGGTGTCCTTAATTAGGGTTTTGCTTTGTTTTACACCTTCCTCAGCTGGTTCTGGTGTGTGGGTCCATCCGTGCGTGGCCCTGGCGTGTTCCCCACATGACTCATCCTGCAGCGGGGCTGCCTCGGACTCGTGGCTGGGACACGGATTTCCAAAGCACTCAAGTGGCCAAACTTAATGATTTTCAGCTGACTCCCAGCATTGTCCTAAACAAGGAATTCCTACCCATAAAGCACTGTGCTGCCCATGCTCTCCCCCTCTTCCCCAGGCTCTGTCGTGTGCGTGGAGGCACATCCTGCTCTGCTGGCCCTGCTGCAAGGTGGGGTGGTAGTTGGGGACAGTGAGATTCACCAGAGGAGCTTTGGGCTGTCCCTCTCACTTGTGCTTGCCCAAATGGTCTCAGAACATTCATGGGCATCACCAGATGTATACCTTTCCTCTCTAGAAGTTGTTGTGTTGTTAAGTGGTTGCTTTATTTCTCCTCAGAGGAAGTTTCTGTGACGAAAGGAAATTATTTGCTAAGCTCTGCTAAGGTATAAATTTAGCAATAAATATTAATTTGTGCACAGGACAAAGGGGGCACAAGAGATATTTAAAGTATTTTGGTGGCAAATGGTATTTTGAGTCCTCAGTTCTGGCAAGAAAAAGAACACAGGAGGTGTCTGCACAGAGATTGCCTTGTTCATGGCCATGGTGAAGTAGGGCATTCCTGTCCTGTGGGTGCCTGGGATTTCAGAAGAGGATGAGATCTATAAGAACTTGAGTTCTTAGGGAACTTCTCACCCAGCAGCTCCCTGGGGCTTTAGCTAAACTGTGGGATATTCAGTGTTTCCCAACTCTCGTGTCAGGACCATCTCCTCTCTTCCCAGCTGTGAGATGTGGCTCTGCACCATTTCTGTGTCCTTCCCTCCCACGCTCTGGTTTCCGTAGGGAGGAATCCTGGGGATGTGAGTCAGGGAGCTGTAGGGTTCTGTCACCAGCGGGAATGATTCAGGCCTGAGACAGCACAGCACACCTACCCCCTGATTTACAGATCACCCTCGGGACACTCAAAGCCACATTTTCCCAACATGCCAACTTCTTGAGAAAACCCAGCCACTTGTTTTGGTGCTTAAACAGAAACATAACCCCTCAGAACAGGCACTGAGTCTATGAGATGCATCAGGGCAGTGAGTCTGCTCTCCCCTCCTGGTACTCCTCCCATGTTCATGGATATCATGGAGCACGGTGTCCCTTCATCCCTGTGTTGTGGGGGTTGTTTGTGCCATCTTCTCTCAGCTTCTGTTTCTTTCTGTCCCTCTGTTCTTCCCCTGTGTGAGAGCACTGGTGCCTGCAACGGGAGGTCACCAGTGAGGTTACTCAACTGGCTCCAAGTCTCAAGGCTTCCTGCTCTGCTATGAAGAGCTGCCAAGTCCCCCCTCCCCGCTGCTCACCACAAACCCAGTGCCTGTTTGTCTCCCTCTCTCCCCTTCTCATCCCTCCTCCTATCAAGACATTCAAATCTCTCCCCAGCAGACAGAGTGGGAGGACAAGGCACCCCGAGCAACCTTCAGATGTGTTTGCCTGAGTTCCCAAAGCAGTGTGGCCACAGGGTGATGTTGTCTTTGCCCCTTATCAATGTTGCCAGAGGGTGAACTGTCCCCATCTGTCCCTCCAAAGTCTGTGGCAGGTTCCCATCAGGACCTGACCCAGTAGTTGGGCTGACAAAAGGCTTTTATTTCCACTGGAAAATGTCATCAGGTTCTTCTACCATCAGGCTGCAGGGATCCATGGGTAACTGTGAAGGGGTTCATGAGCAGTGTTTAAGGAGAATGTGAATTTTGTCAGCAGGTGGGAATGGGCTGCACAGGGACCTGTAGCTTCCTCACAAAACTGGTAGGGGGGTACAGATGGATAAGAGTTAAAAACCTCTGCCCTAGGCATGAACCTGGGGAAAGACAAGGAATCTCCTGTCCCAAAGGAAGTGAAATTTTGCCAAGGGCAATGTGGCAGTGGGTGACCAGCCTAAAGGGAGAGAGCTGCCTTTGGTGGGCATCTGGACATGTGGGGAGAGAGCAGAACACAGAGAGAGCTTTATTTACAGGAACAGAGCATGAACCAGAGACGAGAAGCAGTTAGAACAGGATCCTGTGAGGAGCAGAGGAGATAAATAAGGTGGGAATGGGGGGAAGACGGGAGGAGTGGTCACAATTTTTGAAACAACCAGAGGGAGTGGGGACGCTGCTCCAGAAAGCACCGCAGAGATCAACCACATTCAAGTAAAAACATAATTTTCTTTAAGAATAATACAGAAGCCCCACACACTAATGGTTCAACAGGATGAGGAAAAAGCTGCCTGCTCCACCCCAGTATGTGCTGAGGTAAGGGTAAAACCAGAGCCCCTCGGGCAGGAGCCTGCCAACGGTGCACACTCGGCCTTGGACACATCTGGGGTGCTCCAGCTGGCAACGATCCTGCTCTCAAAGTAGAAGAGAAGTAGCTGCTTTGGAAGAGGATTTTAGCCTCTCCAGCTGTGGCTGAGTCCCTTTAGCTCCTTGTCTTTGCTCCTAACTGCCTTTCTTAAAGATCTCCCAGGAGATTTCCCACTGGTGTCAGTGCTGCTGGGGTCACCAGCCAGGAGCTCTCATCTTTTTCCCAGGAACTGTGAGGCTGCAGGAAACGTACCCCGAGGAGTTCTTTGTGAGCATCACACCTGAATTTGCCCCGCTCTCTCCCAGTTTATGCTAAATGGAGACCACAGAGACCTCACTTAATGACTGGGTTTGTGTAGGTGTAAAGCTCTTTGAGGTCTTCATAAACATGGGTGTTTATTCATTTGGAGTTCATTTTGATTTTCTTTTAAGATAAATTCATTAGCAGGGAGAAAGCCAAAGCCTCACTGCTAAAAATCCAAGTCTTGGTTTTGTTTTGTTTTAAGCCATGAAACAAGTATAAATTAACTAATTTCTAATTATGGTCTCATGGGGCTGGTCCTTCAGGCTGCCCCCATCCGTGTGGTCTGTGTTCTGGGAGCTCACAGACAAGGAAAAGCTGAGAAAAGCATTGAAATAGGAGGACTGGAGGCAGCTCTTGCCTTGTTTGATGGCACCCTGTGTTAGTTGCTCCTTTGGTTGTTAGGGGTATCACATTCCAGGGATGCATTGCTGTGGTTAAGGGGTGAAGTGAGACAAATGAGAGGACAGAGGTTACACACATGAGCTACAAGGATGTCCCCATTTTGATGCCAGGTAGAAAATCAGATGGAGTGTGTTTGCTCCTGCCCTGGGGCTAAGAGCAACAAAGGGAAAGAGCAGAGGATTTATCTAACTACAGTCTAATATTCCTTTGGCTGCAGCAAAGGCTGCAGCACTTCCCGACTATCGGCTGGCGCTTTCACTCACACACATCTGTGATTGATGGGCAGAGAGTATAAACACCTCATTAGTGCTATAATTCACTGGTTAGGGCTCAGACTGGGCTGTGGGAGGGAGGGGGGAAAAAAGAGTTGAGAAAGTTTAATAAAGGGAAAAAAAAATGGAAGAAGGAGAAGAGCGGATGTAAAGGCCACACAAATCATTCCGGGGAGTTATCTGACCTGCTTTGAAAACTTTAATTGCTGATAATGGACAACCTGTTGGGTGGTATTTTATTAACACTAATAGATTTTTACGGGATATTTCTCACATTGCTCTCCCAGAGCCCGAGGAATACATTAAATATTAAAAGTTAATGCTCTTGGTTGCTGTTTCAAGGATGCCCCACCGATAACGAGCTTTCCCGCAAGTTAGAAACCAGGAGAAAACATGAGCTGCCTTTGCCACTTACGGCCTCTGCAATAATAATGAGGAAAACACTTGAAGCCTGTGTGCACCTTGCAGCTGAGCTGCTCAAGTCTGGCCTAAATGCTCTGTAAAGGCAGTGCCCAGCCCAGAGCTGGTAGCTGCATCTGATCTCCAGTCCTGGATTTACAAGAGCTGGATTCCAGAGTCCCACGCTGAAAGCAAATGTTTGTAACCCCCATATGCTACTTTACATTTCAGTTATTCAAAGCAGAGGCTGAGCCGACAACCCATTCCTGTTTCTCAAGAGAACTTAGGTCTGAAATGGATGATATTTTTCTTTAATGTGCTGAATGGTTTTATAAAAGTGTTGCTTCCGCACTAATCTGTTGCAGAAATGACCCAGCTATCTGGAGCAGAAATGGAAGCACCCCAGGAAACATCTGTAGAGGCCTCCAGGACTGTAGGCAGCAAGGGGGGGTTCTGGAGGAGGCTCCAAAGTCCTGCACACAGCAGACAACCCTCAAAGTATGGAAAAAAAGGTCAGTTCTGTACTGTAAAGAGATGGATTCAAGCAGCCCAAGAAAGAAAAGAGGTTAATGCAACACTGGGGAGGTTGGCTGGAGGGAAAGTAAATTTGAAACAGGCTGAGCAGTAACCAGCTTGTGTGGTGAGTCAGAGGGCTTGTGCTAGAACTGGAAACTCATAATACACTTTTGTGCTTGTGGGTAAAACCTGGACTTCCCCTTTAGTGCCTTCTTTGGGTGCACCAGCACTGCCAGCAGTGATGGCCTGGGCCTAGAAAGCCAAGTTGAATCTGTTAGCCCTGCCTGTGGTGGCCTTCCTCTTTGGAGTCGTGTCATCTTCCTTGGCGGCAGCAACGGCTCGGTTTTGGATCTCATTCTGACCTCTGTTTGTGCAGCCACCTTCTTGTGCCAAACCAAGCTGGGCTGGATGGCCCCATCCACGCTCCCTGGAACAGCCCTGGTCCAATCCTGGTGAGTAAGTCAGCTTTCCAGGCCTGCTTGGCTGGAGAGCAGCTTCCCAGGCTTTACTGTCAGGCCAGCTAGACCTCACCAAGAGCCTGGTTCCAGCTGCCAGGCCTTTCCATAGGCAGCCTACAAGAAGATGGATTTCCATACCTCCTTCCCCAGTAAGTCTTTTCTTGTAGTCATGCCATGAACTCTTTGAGCTGGATTATCTTGGTCTCCCCACTCTCCTCACTGTTGGTATTTCCAGACAAGGAGGAGAAGCTGTCCAAACTACCTACTCACCCCTGGCAGCCAATCCCACCCTCCTTGCAAAAACAAGACATCTCTTCTTCTGTATCCCTCTGTATTCCATGTCCCATTTCTGTGGAAGTTTTTCAAGTTAAGTAAAGGGTTCAGCTGCTCTGGGGTGGTGCAGGCAGAAGAGGAGAGGCTCCAGTTCGGTCTCCTCTAAGTCTGGCTTTAATAACTGAGATCTCATTTTGGCATCTTGAAGTCGAGCTGCTAGAGCCAGTTTTCTGAGGAGTTAGGGACTGATCACAGAGACCAGTTGTCTCCTCTTACATATGGACCTGCTCAGGTCAGAAACGTGCACTGCAGGTTTTAGACTTTGCTGGGGAATATTTCATTAATCCTGTCTGCACTGGGGGGTGTTAAGGGCCTTCAGGGACTGGACACCAGCTTGTCTATGTCAGTTGAGTTAAATGCCATTTATTTTCCCCCTAGAACATTCCCTAAGGAGTCTTAATATGAATATATAGATGGTTAGTAGGTATGGTTTTTGTCCTACAGTAAATGACACCACAGCAGCCACAAGGTAGGTGCAAATCAAACTGGGAACTTCAGTTTCTGGAAGGTCTTACCTTTTGAGATAGACCAGGTGCTGAAGCCATGATTCTGGCAGGGCCAGTCTCTTGCTTTCCTTGAACACAGAGTCTTTAGATTGCTTGGACTGAACTCTCTTCAGGTGGTTTAAGAGTCTTTTCAAATTGTGTATCTTCTGTCTCTGAAAGAAGGATTTCAATCACAGAATCATGGAATGGGTTGGGTTGGAAGGGACTTTAAAAAGTTAATCCAGTTCCACCCCCTGCTATGGGCAGGGACACCTTCCACTAGCCCAGGTTGCTCCAAGCCCCGTCCAACCTGGCCTTGGACACTTCCAGGGATCCAGGGGCAGCCACAGCTTCTCTGGGCAACCTGTGCCGGGGCCTCCCCACCATCACAGCCAACAATTCCTTCCCAGAATCCCATCTAACCCTGCCCTCCCCCTTTGGCCATTCCCCCTTGTCCTATCAGTTCAGGCCCTTGTCCAAAGCCCCTTCCCAGCTCTCCTGGAGCCCCTTTAGGCTCTGGAAGGGGCTCCAAGGTCTCCCCAGAGCCTTCTCTTCTCCAGGCTGAACAATCCCAATTCTCTCAGTGAATTTGGGAGGAAGTTGCTTGGAGGGTAATGGGGAAGAAGAGCCAGGAGAACTTGGTACAGCGGTTCTCTCCAAAGGATAAATCCTTTGGCTCCCACACTCCAGGCTGTGCTTTGTTTCTAAACTGCTGTTTAGTGATAAAATGGTCTTAGTTACTTAACGGGAATTGACTTTGTCCCTTCTCCTCCCCCTTGCAGCCCATCCGTTCTCCCCGTCTCCCCTCCAATAAGGGCAGCTTTTCCTGATTGACCCCACAGGCTTACGAAAAACCTTTTTACTTAAACGTGTATTGACCTCAGTCTTGCTGCCCAGTGAATTATGTCACAGCTGGCAATCTGAAAGCCATAAATCAGGGCTCCAGCCTGGGGAGCTGTCTCCTGATGACACGGATCCGAGCCTTCATCGATGAAGGTTGTACCAGGTGCCTTCATGTCTCTGACAACTGGGGAGGGAATACCCTTTTTATGTTTCTTTTCTATTGTCATCCCCCAGGCCCTGTGATTTTTTTTTTTCCTCTTCCCTTTGTTTTTTTTTTATTTCCCTTCCCCATTCATCTTTGCACCATGTATAAAATGTCCTTCCTTGCCTTAACCCACCCTCCAAAGGGAAGGAAAAGGAACCTGTCAGACTTGACATCTTGGATAGTCTTAATTCTTAGGTAGTGTTGATTTTACCAGTCTTTCCTTCCTCCCTTCCTGTTTGATTTTTGTGTTGATTTGTTGTTGTTTTCCCTGATGTGATTTTATGATCTGGACAAATGCACTGGACAAATGAGAAATTTAATGATACTGGAAATATTTCTCCCATATTTTGTGAAGCAAAGTGATTCCAATAGATCTTTTGCCCCGTGACTTGGGATGTGCTGGCTTGTTGTCACTTTGTGAAGGAAGGAAGGGGAATACTCCATGAAATGTGAAGCATCATCACAAATTCAATCAACCCTTCTGTCTCTGGACAAGTATTGATCAAGTGGGAAGGAGGGAACTCGCTCCATGACAGAGTTTGTAAAAAGAAGATCTGCATTGTGCTTGACTGAAATAGTAAAAATGCCATGAGTTTTCATAATTCCCTGTTCCTTGGGGGAATCAGGGAGGCATAGCTTCATCTTCCTCTTCTCACAGACAAGAGCAAAGCTTAAGCATCTCACATATTGCTCGGGTGGCAGAGCCAGAAAAGGAGGGATATTTGCTTGCTTTCCCACATCTCAAAATAGAGCTACATAAACAATTTTTGACTTTATTCTGTCTATGCTGGAATACGATGCTAGCTGGGAAAGAAAAAGCATATTTTTTAGTTCTTCTAGGGTTAGTAGAAATACAGCCTTGGTGACAGACCCATTGCTCGCTAGAGATCTTGCAACCCTGATTTTATATCTGTGGCACATTCCTTCGGTGTGCCACGTGAGTTCTTCAGCTCAGGAATGTCTTGAGTTTAGGAGATGTTACCTTTTCGTCTGTGTCTTGGCTGACTTTAAGAAAGGCAGACAGATAAGTTTGGAGACAGCTCTGACAATGTGCCTGGTGCTGAGGCCAGACCTGGCAAGGCTGGGATCAGTCCAGGGCTGATGTTGGCTCTGAATGTCACCGGGGAAGCTGGGAGGGCCCTCGGTGGGTTCAGTGCTCTGGATGGAGATCAGACCCTGAGATAACAAGGCGATGACAAGCACCTTCAGAAATACTGACACAGAGACAGATAAAAGAAGATGCAGTAATAGTGTGTAGAAATAAATCCTTCTCATTCTGCTTTTGATCTTCTGCGTTTCTTAAATATAAGAATTTTCTTAATATCAGTTTCTTACATCATCCATAAGCTCATGCCCTGCATTTTAACAGCCTTACAAAATGTTACTCAGAGAAATGGATCCAGGCATTTATTTTAAAGACACTGGATTAGGCCCTATCTGTATTTAGATTAAATTCCTCCCCCACAGTGTTTGCAATACAATGTTTGTTGTACTGGCATGTGCAGCACTGCCCAGAGAGTGGAGCTGGCTGGAAATTCCCTTATCTGCATAAATGCAAATGACTAAAAACTTGGACGGGTGGGAGAAAAATTAGTAGATTATGGGTTTTATTCCTCCTTTATTGATGTAAATCGCAGGCATGTGTAATGATAGTTGTGATTTTAAAGTGGGCTGTGTCCCTTCAAAGAAAATGTGAGCTCATAAATCCTGTGAGATTAGAGATCCTGGGGCCCGATGTGGCAATGGCTCCGGGTTTATGGCATTCCTCAGGACAGCCGGGATAGGATGTTCTGTGACCCGCCTTTTATGAAGATCAAAAGGCTTAAAACTGTTGAGAATAAGATTTTCACGTCGTCCAGGGGGAGACACCAAGCTGTCAAGTGGGAGGAGGCTCTTTGAAGTGTGGAGATAAGGACCTTTCTAACCCTCAGTCAGGTATGAAAGCCATTTCCAGGCGGCAGAGGAGCGTGTCATTCCACTGGATGCTGTGCCAAGGGAATTCATGGAGCAGGCCAGCTGAGCTGAGCCAGGTGAACACCTGGCAGTGCCTCAGCCAACCCATACACAGGACCAAAACCTGAATGTTTGAAGAGGGTTGAAAGGACTGGGAAAATGTAAAAATTAACGTATTGGAGGAAGTGGGAATTATAGGTGGGAATATCTCCCTGTGCTCCAACCAGCCTGAGTCCAGCAAAGCACCCACTGCAGGGAGTTGGAATGAGGAGTGTACTCCTACAAGGATTATCTCAGCCTTGTGTCTGAGCGTGGAGGGGCAGGTGGGAATGCTCCCAGGGAGCTTCTGGGTGGGAAAAGGGTGGGGAGAGACAGAAAGTGGCCTCACACCTCTGTATTCTGGCCAAGAGCTGAGCCACTGCAGGGCCAGGAGGGAGGAAGCAATTCACTGCTGCTGGAAGCCAGGAATAGCTTGTCACTGGTCGGGAATAGCTGTGGGAGAAGCACAGCACCGCTTTCCCGACTGTCCCAGGGCTCACCATCCAGCACAAACACTTACATGTTTGTCCCTTCCCTTCTCAGATTCCTCAGAGGGGTTGGCATTGGCAGCTGGATTATCGTGGTGCCTTGAGAAAGAACTTCTGCACAGCATTTTTCATGTAGGCAGAAGCTGTTAGCGCTGAAAACCTTCCCAAAAAAGGATTCCCCTGAGCTGGTAAGAATAATTTCTGGTCACATTTATAGAAGTTTAAATGGCATCTAGACAAGATAAATATCCTTAATGTTTTGTCATCTTTGTGCTGATGAACTAAAGATACATTTGCTTTCCTGTAATGACTTTCTAAGAGAAAACAGCTAAACAAGACAGAATAAAAATGCAATTTCATGACAGATGCTGTTGATACATATGTTTCCTCTGTAATAAGCTCAGTCCTTGGCTGCCAATAAAATAAGAGTTGTCTTTAGCCAACATCTTGAAAGCTGAAGGTGAAAACAGAGTGGTAGGAATCACATGGCTTTACAATCCATGTCCAAGCACTGAATTCCCTCACAGCAACAAATTTGGTTTAAAAACTTTTGTTGTAATTATCACAGCTCACATAGATACTCTCTAGGAACTGCTGTATGTGGAATTGGTCAGAAATACTTTGACAGTCTGGTTCCTATTGAAAAATGCCATTTCCTGTTGGAAATGGTTGAGGAAATCGCAACGATTTAATTATTTTCTTTTTTTGTTTTCAGAGGAGTACTAGAGAGAAAGGCCTGACTGGGTTAAAGCCGTAGGTTTTATTTAGGTGTTCTTTTTCTTTTCCAATGGTTTGTTGCTTCTTTTTCTAGTCTTGTTGTGTATAACACATTTCCAGTGTATTTCAGTGGGTCCAGAATGAAATTGTGGAGGGAATATTGAGATTTTGGGGGTTCTTTTCCCAAGCAAAACATGAGTAATTGATGAAAGTAAGAAATTATGTTTCAAATGGAACATCCATTCTTTCCCTCATCCCACCAGTGCTGTTACACTCAGAGGCCGACCCGTGCAAATATTTTAGTAGTAGGATTGCAGAAGGAGCTCCTGTTTGCTTCTTCTTTCCTCCTGACTGTTCAGGTTTTTCTCTGTCATCCTTCTTAAAGCAACAACTTCCCAAATAGCAGAGCAGAGAGGAGTGTGTTGTCAACCTTCCCCTCAGCAGTGTGATGTGACGGGCCCACTGCTCTGATTCACAGGGAAATTACTGTGTCCCTGTATCCTTTTAATTGTAGGGTTCAAAACCAAAGCATGGAGACACACATCAATTATTACATTGTCATTTAATCTGGAGTCAGTCCAGTGTGAACCCTGAACGCCTGGAGCTGGTCCAGCCGAGTGGCAGGAACAGGGCTGAGAGTCCTGGTAAACACCACATGATTTCTGGTATTTGCAGGGCATCTGCTCTGCCTGCCCTTGCAGTACCTTTGGCTGCTCTGGAGAAGCTCCTGGGTGACTGGTGATTTTATTAGGGCCTGGCCCATGGGAGGGTGAGCCATTCAGCTTGTCAGCCTGCTCCCAGAAGAAAAGCTGCAGCGGGAAAAAAAAAACCTTGCTCTGGGCTTTGAAACCTGAACTGCAGCCAATTCCAGCTGAGGGATGTGACGGTCGCCTCTGCTGTGAAGTTGCCATCTGAACAATGACAGTGTTGTGTGGCTTGAAAAGACCAGTGGAAGGGATAAGTGTCTGTGGTGGCTGTGAGTGGGCAGCTCTGTGTCAGAGAGCAGCCCAGACCCCTGGCCTTGCCTTAGACTGTGCACCTCAACATCCACAGTTAGACCTGTTTCATAGGGACACATGCATCCCAAATTTTCTTCTCTTCCAAGCTCTGTTTGGCTGGAGCATCTGGCCTTGCTTCTGCTCCTTTGAAAGCTCTGCCTTATTAAACAGCCCTGGGAGCTCAAGAAGGAAAGTCACGGGAGGAGAACAGGAAGGGGGATTGCTAAGAGATGTGCTATTCCTTAATAAAATAATAGTCTGAGAGGAGATCACAGCTTGTAACAACCAGTGAGATCCTGCTGCTAAGATTCCCTGCAAAGCTGCTCCTCTCAGGGCCAGGCTTCCCATCCCCAAAGCCAGCTGTGCTGTGCATGTGCTGCACAGTTCCCTGAAGTCATGGCATGGAGGGTGAGAGTTATAATGTATTCATCCAAATCACATCCAAATCTCGTCTTTTGTTTTCAATTTGTTGGGACAAACAGCTCCTCTCTTACTATTTATAATTTGGCCCTCCTGTAAGGCCCCAGCTGAAGTCATTGCACTGGGTCTGAGCTAGTTCAGCCTGTGAGATGCTTGAATTAACAACACAGTGGATGGGGAGAGGGGGAGAAGGAGGTTGGTGCCTGCTGTGTCCCTTTTGCAGGTGGGGAGCTGAGGCCTGGAAATGGAATAATTTGCCCTGAGTCTAAAAAAGAGGTGGTGGCAGAATAAGAGAGCAACTCAGGTCTTCTCCATTCAAGACAGAAACACCTTTTTTGATCAGTGTTTTCCACGACAGGTGAAATGCCCAACCTGAAGGTTGGCTGAGAAATGGTTGCTTTAAAGATCAATAATATTTATGAACAAAGTCCTGCTGACCTTGGGTTTGCTCCTGCACGGTCATGTTGGAGGTGAGGATTGCTGTCTTCCCACCCAGGAATTCCAGTGCACCTCAGACATCTCAAATTTACTGTTTGTGAGGTTTTTGCTGGGACTGTTCATGCAGGTCCAACCACAGATACTGCTCCAACAACCTGGAATCCTGGGAGAGTCTGAAGCATTGAAATCCCATGAGGACAAAGCTGTGGGTCCCTTCAGAGCTGGGTTAAACCAAAACTACCAACAAGGCCTTGCTGACATTTCCCTATGGAGAGGATTTTGGATGAAGTGAACCAACACCATTGGCTTGGGGTGATGGCTCAGTGTAACCCATGGGTGACATAGTGCAAAAATAGTTCCTATTTTTTAAAAGAATAAGAAAATATTCAGATGTTCATTCAGCAAATGTGTAACCCCAAACACCAAGACATCAGATTCTCTTCTTCACTCTGCTCTCAGTTTATTGTAATGGATGTGGCACAAACTTCTCTGTTATAGGCTACAGGTATTTTCATCTGTCCAACACTGTGATGTAGTAAGAAGCAATACAAATGCTATTTGCTATTTACCAGTAAAGAGTGGGGTGAAAAAGCCTGTGTTACAAGAAGAAACATCCCTGTAGAGGCTGCACCTCGTTCCAAGAGGCTGTCCATACCCATTTCCCAAGGGTCAGGACTGTGCTGTTGCAATTCTTCGTGAGATCTTTCTTACACAAGCTACAAACCTTGCAGCATCTTTCGTTCCCTTTGTGCAGACTAGGAGCAGATGTTGGGAGAGGATCCAGGCCTGTGTGTTGCACTTGGGAGAGGCCACATGTATAAATCCCACTTCTTTCTACAGCTGTAATATAGAGTGTATGCACCTTATTATCAGAAAGACATCCAGAGTGCGGGGCAGAGCATAACCAGGAGAATGAAGGGTCCGGGGAGATTTCTCACCGTTCAGAAAAGCTGGAAGAATTTTGTTTGGAAAGCCAGACTTGGGAGGAAAAGAACAGGAGTGAAGAAGGAGGAACCACTTTAAGTACAAAAACGTCTGAAGGGAATAGGGAAGTGCGAGGTTTCAAGGCTATATGAGCTGGTGTCACATGCAGGGATAAGAGAGCCTTGATTTAGGCTAGAGACGAGCCAGCAGGCAAGGAATTTGCTCCAGACAGAGTCCTTCCTAGCTCCTGCCTGCTACCATAGCTAACAATCATGTCAATAGGGTTTAAAAGGTGCTTCAGAGGAATTGGGAAGCAAAGACAAATAAGGTGGGTGGCTGAGGGAGGAATGGAAAGTCCAGTGGTTACTGAGTGAGGCTTGAGTGTGATGAAAATCCTGGCTGTGCTCCAGTACAAGATTTCCTATCACATTAATTATATTGCAACAGGCTCCAGGGCTTTCTGTGATACAGACTCTGCATATCAAAAATGCTGCACAGACACCAGTGGTGGAGTAACAAGATAAACTTGCTGTGTTGTCTCCCAGCCTTCCATGAAGATGCCCTCAGAGATGAAGCCTGAAACTCCTTGGTGCTGTTCCCTCTGTGCACCTGGGCAGAGAGTGAATGATCTACAGGGAACAAGGAATAATTAGCTCTTGGAAATATCAAGTTTCTCTCAAAAATTAACTCCATCCCCTTTCCTTTTGGTAACATACCTATGCTCTTGGATGGCATTTTTGTGACACTTAGAGGTGTTACTTGAAAAGTGTTTCTTTGAAAATACAGACATGTGGTCACCTAAACCGAGGTGAAGATACTGGGAATATTGTGGTACTGCCACTGTTTGTTGTGGGCAGGACTCTTGGCAGGTATTTCATGAAACTGTATCTGTTCAAACCAGCAGAACTGAGGGGAGAATCCTCTCTCTTTCCCCTCCAGCTCTCTCTTTTACCTCTCTTCTCTTTTTCCCTCTGTCAGGGTGCACTGGATGGCAAATGGAAAGATAGAAAATCAGTGTGGAATGAGTGTGGTCTGGAAAGGAGAAGTCACAGCAGGTGTAATGCCACCCTGAACAGCAGTGAAACAAAAGCAGAAGCCAGACAATACTGACAAAAAGAAAAGGAAGCAATGAGGAGCTGCCCCAACATGGTCCTTCTTTTCTAGTGGAAAAGGAGAGTCTGATGCTTGTGTTTTCCACTCTTGACAGCACCACAGTTGCTTTCTGTCACCTGGGTATGAGGCAGATGAGGTGGAGTGTCTTCAGGTAATGCCTGAGTCACCTCGGTGGCTTCTGTAGTGGGGGAAGATCTGAGTGTAACAGCCCCCCTTCTCTGGGAAAGGGTGTCCTGCAGTATATAGAGACAGGATCGCCTTAGATCTGGGATGTGAAGACTGTAAGGCCTGGTTTTCACTAAGACAGTTGGACTAGGAATGAGGTTGGGCTTGAAGTCTCCTTTATCACTGAAGTGTGGAGATGTAACTTGAGGAGGACAAAAAAACACCAAAGCCCTGTTTGTTACCATCATTCTCCTGTGTGCTAGGGGTGAAGACTAAAGCTTTGTGCTGGCCAAGGAACTCCTTAAATCAGGAAATAGTCTTAGGAGGCTGATTCCAGATGCTTTTTTTCTAAGCAAAAGTGTATAGAAGAGATGAGGACTGGGTCCATTCTGGAGTACCCACCTGCCCTCCCAGCCTGGTGACACATTAGCTGTGAAGATAAGGACTGTCCTCTACTGCTGCCTCCTCTGGAATGGCCAAAGCAGAGTTAAGCCTCCTTGTCCCTCTCTCCCCCCCCCAAAAAAAAGTGCATTATGGGATTCTCTTCCCTGCCTCTCCCTCCTCTGTGCAGAGCTGTGTGTTTGAAATGATATCTATTTCTCTTTGTGACAGCACACCGTGACTGCCGCCTTGACGTTCTGCCGAGCTGACATCCCAACCGGTGTGACACTGATGCCTTTGGGCAGAAATCAGAGCCGGTTTGCTGCATGGCTCTGTGCAGCCACGGTGCCTGTAGCGCCTCAGAGAGCCCCCAGTGCCCTGCTGGGGAAATGGAGCGAGCACGTGGGCCCCAGATGAACCCGGAGCGGAGCGCGGGCGTTATCCACAGCTGTCCCACTGCCCGTTCCCAGTTTTAAGTGTCCACATTGACATGGGTTTATGTCTTTTTTTTTTCCCCTCCCTTTTCTCTCCCTTTTTGCCTTGCCTGTGAGAGGGTTGGTTTCCTGTTTCTCCCCCCGGCTGCAGGGTCCTTGGGGACCTGGGTTTCCGTGAGCTGGAAAAGGAGCGCACAAGCGTCTGATCAGCCCTTATTAGTGTTGAGAAAGACCTAATGGTTCCTGGCTTCTGGGACCATTACCTGTCATTTACTTTTATTAAGTCGGTGATGAGAAAGTTTAAAATTAAAGGCTTTGTAAATTGGATTCCAGTTCTAAAGGGAGGCACCGACCAGGAATTCAGTGCCAAAGCCTGCAGATGGGCTGCTGGGAACAACACCGGGCTGGGGCGTTTGTGTTCAGCTGCTTTGGCAAAGGTCCTGTGCCAGGGCATGGAGGGGGAGGTAGTTTGGGCAAAGCCTTGGGGTATCTATCAGCTATATGAACCATGTAATCCTTCCTTTGCCAGGCTACTTGTGTCCAGACCTCCAGCTCCTGGTCAGGAGGAAGGGTGGTCTTCTGGTCGAGCCATTACCCAGCCTGTGAGTTCTGTTCCAGCTGAAATGATCCCAGGCAGGTCATGTCACCTCCTCATGGTTCATCTCCTGGTTTATAAGGAGGAGGAGGAGGAGGTGGTGTTAATATTGATTTTGTTTCTTACCTGTTGCCTGGTTTGGGCAGTCAGCTCTTTGAGCCAGGTGCTGTCCTTGGCTCTTGTGCTTAGAACAAAGGCTCCAGCTCCTTTTGAGTTTTGAGACTGAAAAATAAAGACTTTGGTTAAGCCTGGAGCAGAAAGCAAGTAAAAGAGATGAGCCACCTAGTTAAGAGAAGCATTTTATTCTTAGAGCTTATAACACTGTTGTATTCTCTGCTTTTGGGGCTTTATCTTTGAATTAACCATCCAAACATGTTTGCAAATGAAACACCCAAATTACACTAAAACAATCAGCTAATTATGGTGTGACAAGGGAAGCTCAGGGGCCAATCCCAACAAAGAGCTGCTGTCACTTCTGCTCTCTCAGCTGAATAAAAGTCTCATGGTGACATTGCTCTGATGAGAAGCAGCATGAATGAGTGGTTATAAGTACAGTCTGGGAATCAGAATTCTTGGTTATTGTGTCTCAGTTTGTCTTTGACTGGAGTGACATGGGAGAAGTCACCTGAGGTGAGGATTTTAAGGTTGCCTCCTGCCCATCCTTGCATTGTTAAATACACAAATTTTGCCTGTACAGCTTTACGTGAAGATTTGAGGTTCCCACCGTGTCTCTGAGAGGCAGAATACAGTGCAATACAGTGCTCCACCAAAGCACAGGGCTTAGCCAGTTAGTAATAGATTGCAAAATTAAGTGTTTGTCTCCTGAAGGCAGAAGGTACAAGGATGAAACAGATTCCTTTTAAACTAATGATTTCTTGGGAAAGTTTACCTCAGGTTCTCCCTGAGTAGCTTGGCAGTTTTTGCTGTGTTTTGCCATTTTTATCTATATTATTATTATTGTTGTTGTTGTTGTTGTATTATATCATATTATATTTATTTATATCAGAGGTAATATTTGTGGAGATTTGGAAGGGATGCCCCCTGCCCATCTTCTCTGACACCCCTACAGCCAAGCTCCAGGTGTGAGTCCCCACTTCAAGGAGGTTCCCCTCCATTTAAAGAACCAGGACAGAGAACAATGTCTCACACCATCCAAACCCACAGGCCTTTCACCTTCTTTCCCCAGAGAGATTCCAAACCACACAGGCAGGAGGTGGGATAATATGCCCAGAGGGAACTGTGACACCGAGGGATGGATAAAGAGGGGCAAACCTCGGGCCCAGAATTCCCGCAAAGTGAGCCTGAGCACGTGTTAACTCCAGGCCATTCTTCCTATCCCTCCATAGGCATAGCAGCTCCTGGACTTCAGCTAATTGCACCATTCCCTTGCAGGAGGAGTGATGCCTCTCCCAAGTTTCCCTGTGAGGAGCTGATCTATGAGCTATTCTGTGGTTACTTACATCATTCCTGCGTTCCCAGCCCTGCGACCCGACCGCAAGGCTCTCAGAAGGTAATCTGGGGAGATTTTATCAAATGTGAAACGTTCCTAGACATTACTGGAGCCATGATGTAATGAACCAAGGTTTTGTTCTCTGAATTCCACCGAAAAACCACGGGCCCCAAAAAAACTGTTGCCGGGGAGCTGATGAGTTTTAAGCGGGAGGCTGAGATCTCGTGCTGGGCTGAGCCCTCCTGGCTGCAGCGGGGGGAGAAAGGGTTTCCAGCTCGGTCCTGTGTCGCTGGCTTGGTGAAGTCTGGGCTGAATTTCTGAGGTGGGCAGCAACCTTTTCAAAACACCCACTCCCTGGTTCCTGCTGCTGTGGTGGGAGGTGTTGCCAAAGGAAAAGGCTGTGTTGTACCTCTCTGCTCCAGGTTTGTTGCACGTTCAGAGTTCTGGCGTTTGTTGTAATTGCGGCTGTTCCCACTTCTGTGAAGACAATTCCAGCCCAAAATCTTGCTCAAAAAGACCAAAACCCCTTACATGAGGTGACATGAGGTCCCCTCGTGTAACACTGTTTTCTTAGGGTCATCCCTGCTGGAGCTGAGTGCTCTGAAAGACCTTTAAACCCCTTTTTTTGAAAGGGACAATGATTCCTGAGTCACGTGAAGCCTTCCTGGCATATTTATATCTGCCAGACCAGGATGAGGCTGTCCATGCTTTGATGCTTTGGATTTCAGTACCTGTTGAAATCCCCTGAACAAATGGTGCTATTAATTACGGGACCTGGCTTTGATGAATGATGCCTAGGGGACAACATTTCATTTTGTCTGGGGGGAGTAAGCAGGATGGGGCATTTTGGAGTGTTCAGTGATGCAGGAGAGGTCCTGGGTGTTGCCTGATCAAGGGGAAGTTGCTTCCTCTCTCCAGAGTGCTGTAAAGTCAGTGTCAAGTCACTGTGGCATCTGGGTTGTGTCACCTGCTGATGGGGCTCCCCCTTTATACATCAGATTTGCTCAGACAAAAACCCATTCAGCCCTTTGCCTAAGAAGCTTTTAGAATTGCTCTAAAGGTCACAAATAATTTTGTCATAAATGGCTCCTGCCTGCCTGAGGCACTGCCCCATCCCCAAGGCATTTTAACACCAGAGCAATGAGTTTGGGGTTCAGGTTAGACACATGAGATGGGGGGAGGTCATGAGGTGTTCTCAGGAATCCTACCACCTTTCCTTTCCCCACATCCTTTTGAAACTCTCAAAACCAAAATTTTTGACAAAGTTATAAGAAAGCCTTGTTCCTAAAGCGGTGAAAAAAAGCTTTTTCCACAGCTTTGATTTAGTTTCTTATTTGTGTGGGTCATTATTTTTCGGTGCCTTGTTTTTCACAGGGTGTGCAACGGCCCATCCTTCCTTCTGTCAGTGCTTCCCGGATTCCAAAAACACGGAGAAGGAGATAAACTCCAGCAATGTGTTTTCCAAATAGACTATGAAAAAAAAAAGGAGAATTAAAGACAAGTGTGAAGCCTCCTCCAGCTCCTCCTGTCGTTTGGGCAATGCTCGTGCCACGTGTCAGGACAAACAGAGGAGACATCTGGAACGGGTTCATGTGAGTCCATGGGGTTTGGATCCCCTTGCGTGGGAAATCCCTCATACTCTGCTCATTCCACTGACAGGCAGCTCATTCCTCCATGTGACAGCACAGAGACAGGCCCTTTGCACAGCTTAATGGAGGAGGATGCTGTGATTGTGATCCAAAACTGTTCTCATAATAACATCATCTGATGTTTAGCCCTCCAGATGGGGAAGGCTCTTACATCCAGCACAGGCATACTGGGTATAAACCACTAGAAAACACTCTTTCTGTTAATTCAAGGCAAAACCTGCTCCCATCCCCTGTGGTGGTTTTACATGTGTTGAATTCCAGTGATCCAGTGTCTGCCTCACCACCACTGGAGTCTCCCCAGCTGAGGGAAGACTCTATTTCACACCTTTCAGCTGGCTAAGGTGGGCACACACCTGCAATCCAGCCTGAACAAGGGATTTCAACACATTCTTGCCTGAAACTGGGCCTAAGAATGGGTAAAACCTGGTGCTGAGGGGGCACATGAAGTGAATGCCCTGTGAAAAACACATAAAAATTAGGTAGGGTATGAACTTGGAGCCAGTGTTTGCTACACTTTTATGTGGTTATAGGGCAGCTGTCTGACCTCCTCACCTAATTTGCAAATAATCTTGTCAGGACAAATTAGTCCATGCTGAGCCTGTGCTGTTGAGACTAGATGGTTATCAGGACCTGCACTAGTGAATTTTAAGGTAGTTCTGGTGTCTCTGCATGCAATGGAGTCACAGTGGCAGTGACTGCAAGTGCAGAGATAGGCTTTTGTATTAAACAAAATATACACAAACCCCTCTTCTACAGAAACCTGGAATTAATGGGTTTCCTAGCTGGTTTCTATCAGGCCATTTTCGGTACAAAAGCGTGAGTGTTGAAAACAAAGATTTAAACTGCATTTGAAAGTGCAGCTCTGAACACTGTGAATTGCTTAATTCATCTTAATAGAGGTGTTCACTCTGAACCCGAAAAGCTTTTAGTTGAGATTTAGCCTGTGGTTTGATATTACAAATTGCTTGGTGGTAACATTGGTTTAAGACACTGTTGTCTCCTGGCCTCTTGTTCCTGCTGCTCTGCTGGCACAGCTACTCCTGTGGTTAGGAACCAAATGGGAGGAGCCATCCGGCTTGGAAAAAGGGGAAAAAAAGAGGTTTCACATGTTTGGTTTTTTCTTTGTTTGTTTGTTTGTTTGTTTGTTTAAAGCAGGAAAGTTCCTCTGTCTGGTTCAGCTCCTGGTCACACGGAGTTTTCCTGGCACAAACGAGTGGAAAGAGCACTTTGGCATGGAGGGGAAATGAGCAGCAGAGGGTGAAAGGTGAGCAGCAATTACTGGTTCTGGGAATGCCCCAGTGTACTTTAATATCAGCCCATGATCTGGAACTGATCTCACCATGTGAAAAATGCTCAAATACCTTTAAAACCGTTGGGTTTAATCTTTGCTTTTAGGTGTCTTGGCAGACACTTCCCATTTGTGTCCTTATCTCCCAGTCTCCAGCCGCCTTCAAAGGTTTTCCAGCTACTGTGTTCTGCAAGTTCCAAACCCTGCAGCCCACTGGGACTGCAAATGTGTGAATGAGCACAATGATTGGAGTTGAATGACAGTGTAAGTATCAGTTGTCACTGCAAGGAATGTTTCCTTCATTTCCAGAATTTAGTTCCTTGAGAAAGAGCCCCTTTTAATACAAATGAAAGCAGGGTTTCCACGGTGACTTTCTCAAATTTAGAAGATCTTGTCATTTAAATCCAGTTTGCCATGGGACATAAAGTTCATTTGTTATAGACCACATCAAACCAGCTGAGTCCAGAGGTACCACGAAGAGTGTGGTGATGTGCCTGGAAAACCAAAAAAAAATCTATGAATACCAGACTTTCAAGATACTAAAAGTGGGAAATTTATCTCATTGCAAGTTTGCCACCCTGCTCCCAGAAATGGAATTGTCTGATAATTAAACTCCCTGCAAACATGGGAAAAAAAACAAGCCAACCCAGAACAGTGGAATACCCAAATGATTTGGTAAAGAACTTTTTGCTTTATTTAATAAATTACGAGGGTTTTGATGAAATTTCCCTTTATAAATTCGAGTTGTACTTGACAGGAGAAAATCTGTACCTCCAAAGCTTGTGAAAAAAATGTGGGCCTGCCTTCTGCCCATCTGTCCCTTCACACACAGAGCAAAATTCAAATAGTTTCCATGGCACACTTGTGGAAAGGGAAACTTAGCAAAGTCTCTTTGGCTATAAATAGCAATATACATGTAATATTATGGTGCACTGACTCAGCTTGAAATCTCAGATCTCTCCAGTGATTAACATCTCTCATTAATGGGACTGCTGGGCCCTGAATGTGGAGTTTGCTCCGGAGTTCAGTGTGTGACGAGCTGGGAACCCCTTTTTTCCTCTCGAGCCTTTCACTGAATCACCCAGTACTGTGAAATAAAAAAAAAGAAAGATAAGGAGAGAGGAATCTCTGCTTTGATTTCTTCACAGAGACACGCAGACAGAGGCAGCTCAGGGGAATCCTGCCCAGCAGAGGTTAATGTGACCCACATATAATTGTGTGAAAAGATGCCACTCTGCGCCTTTGTCAAAGAGGCTTCTCGTTACAGCCCGAGCTCCCCAGTCCCCAGCCCCTTCAGCAAAGCACAGTTTTCTTGCATTAAATCACCACTGCCCTCTTGCCAGCTGCTTAGAGTTTGCACATTACACAGGAGGAGATATCTAATATATATTTGTATATTTTTAAAGCGTGACAGATTGTCTCGTAACATATGTGGGATCGCCTTGAAATGAGCTACGTGCTTGTGATGGCCGAGCCAGCTCTGTGTGTCTGTGTGTGTGTGGGTTGTGTTTTATCCCTTCTGTTGGGAATCTGAGAGGCTGGGACACTCAAGCTTTTCACGTTGCTTTTTCCCCTGAAATATTCATGGCGAGTTGACGACCTTGATTCTTTGATACCTGCCATTTATTTCTGTGCCACTGACAATAACTGCTGCTAAGTACATATGTCAGTGACATGCCTGAGCGAGCTCCACGATAAGGGGAGGGAGGGCAGCCGAGGAATAAGATTACTTTATAAACTCCGAGGGCATTTTAGGAGCCTGCCATGCCATCTTATTCACCCCACTTCGTTTTTCTGACTAAAGCCTCTTTGCTTTGCTGCTTCTCCAGCTTTTTTTTTGCTTCCGACTCGGAAATCTGCTCGTTCGCTGCTGCTTCTCTTGAAGATGCTTGCTGGCTCCTTGTCAAGTGAATTGCTAATGAATTAGTTACACTTAGATTTTTTAAAAAAAAAAAGAGATGCAGGTCTGGGGAGACTCAAGGAATTCTTCTCCAGCCAGAAACAGATCCTCGTGGAAATGAACTCTGGGATTAGATGATCAGGGGGCATTTTGGTACTCTGTAAAGGGAAGGAAAGATGAGGGTAGAGCAGAGGAAGATAAAAAAAGAGTAGGCAAGCAGGTAAGCACCAGTATCACCCTGTAAATGTGACATTTAAGCAGGCAAATCTCACTGATTTGTGTGATACCATTCTTTGGAAGGATTGTAGCCTGCAAGGCACCAAGCATAAGATTTTGAGGGTGGGGGAGTATATTCATTAACATAAAGGTTACAGAAGTGATGAAATAATGAAATACATGGGGAAAAAGTTCCTGAGTAAAAATTAAACGAAGTCCAACCTGAACCAGTCTTCAGTGACATTGCTGGATCAAGGGGTAAATGTGGCTCCTTTTGACTGCAAGTTATTCCATGGGCCTTCAGAGACATAACTCATGTCAGGACCTGGATTCATCCTGCTTAGTTCAAGTTGTTTATCTGAAGGAAGGGACTGGGAGACCCTGGGCTGGCTGACTCGCTGTAGGTGCCTGTGCTTTCTGCAGTGGTGATGTGGGGAGTGAAGGCTGGTGCTTTCCTGACTGGGATACCCTAATTCAAGCAGGACTTCGGGTGGGAATTGGAAAGGTCAGATGGAGACAGCTGGTCCCTGTCTGTTGGATGCTGAAGAAGGGACTCTGAGGGGTAGATGTACTGACAGAGCTTTCCTTCGCCTAAACTGTGAAGTGAGAGAAGCCAGAGCAAGGGAGGCAATGGAGCAGAACCTCTCCCATGGATTTTTCTTCTCACCATATTTCATATAGGAAATTGCAGCACTGCCTCTCTTTTGGACTATCATTTTTCCCTCTCAAAAGTCACAGCACACAGTTGTATGGCAATGTACATTCTCCTGAAGATAACTTCCCCCCTCTGTAAGAAAATATGGGGAAAAGAAAGAGGACACAAGGGTGGAAGTAAAATTAACAAGGCCTGAGGGGCTTCTGCATGTGCTTCCTGAACTGCAGCCGTCCTGGAGAGGCAGGAGACAAGGTGGCTTTGGGAATGCAGCAGGGTCCAGAGAGGCATTTATTTAAGATTGATATCAAACCTTGGAATTGTGAGTGGGAGGATTTTTGAGGGAGGAACAGGATGTTGCCAGGAAGGAGGGAGGCTGGCTAGGGTGATTTATTGTAAGGGTCAGTCGCAGGAAGTCGCTGGAGATACGTGATGGTCTAAAACACAGGCCAAGGAACCCGCACGAGGACACTGTTTTATGCTCTGAGATCCTGGCTCCTCTAAATAGGGCCAACAAAGTGGCTGGGTGGTCTAATTAGGGTCGTCTTTGGTGGTCCTACATGCATGTGTTTTGGTCAGCTTCCCTGCCTGTGTGTGTCTCCGTGCACAGTGACCCATCCTGCTCTTGGGTCTGTTACAGAGGCTTCTGCCTTTGAAAAAAAAAATTCACTGCACTTGGAAGAGAGGTTTCAGGCCTTTTTAAAGTCATTTGGTGCTTACACAGATAACTGTGCACATGGGGACATGAAGCAGTCGTATTTAGGCTTCCCTCCTCCCTATCGGAAAATTCCCTGTGACCCAAGAAATGAGAAGACTGGCAAGAGCAGGGGAGTCACGATTGGGAATGACCTCTCAGGCCATGAGCAGGATTGGAGAGTTCATCTGGATGTAGAGCTTTAACTAGTTGTCAGTCTGAAATCTGCAGCTCCACATCATTGTAACAGGCCATTTATGTCGAGCAGGACTCCTGCAGGAACCTGTGCTTTTTTACACTGATGGCTGTAAATAAATTATTGATCATTAAGCACAGCCACCTTCTGTCCAACTTACTTCTGAGTGTTATTTATGTGTATTTTGGCATCTTGTCTTCTGACCTGGAGTCCTCTGGTGTCAGGAGCAGTTGTTCTTCCTGAGAAGACAGGTGTTGTCCCAGAGAACCCTCAAGTCAAACAGGCAGGAGTGTGGAAGAAGGATTTAGGCTCTCTGGGAAACACAGCATGGTTGGGAAGGCAGCAGTGCTTTGGAGTGAATGGGAGGGTGCACTCTGAATTCAGATGACCTTAAATGACTTGTCAAAGCTCACACAGCAAAGTTAGTGCCTGGGGACAGGGCTAAGTTCATCTCTTCTTTGCGGGGGTGAATATCTAGACAGTTCTCCCATATCCCTGTTCAGCCTCTCATTATTGCAGACTTGGCTGTGTTGTGGTTTCCTTCAGTGCATTCCACCCCTGCTGCTCTGCTTTTGTTCCTTTCTGCAGCTCTTCTGGCCATCCCCACCGATAACAGATTAGCTCTACACGAGGGGGTAACATCTGAGCTTTTCATGCTGTCCTTTTATCTAATGTCCTCCAGCTCATGGTCCTGTTGTCCCTGCACAGCTTGGCCTGTGGTGATGTTCACTCTCCTGCTTACACTCAGTGAATGATTTATCATGTGTTATCAGTAGGACTCTGTACAGTGTCCAGGGACAATGTTTTCTTCCATCTGGTTCCAAGCTGGTGGAACACCCTTCCATGTGGTTTTCACATGTGGTTCTCCTAGTACCTCCTTTCTATTTTTTCCCCTCTGGATTCATCATTATGCAGTTTGTCTAACAAGTACATTTTGTTTCACTTTATAAATTAACCACATGCAGGAATTAAAGCTTCAGCTAATGTGGCTGTTTCTGAAGTGACAGAGGAAACCTTCACAGCTGGGCGAATCTCTCTTCTGGAAGAAATATCCAGTCCCACAACATACTGGAAGTTAACTGCTGCAGCATTTCATGCCATCTTCAGTCAGACATCAGCTTATGGCTTGTTCTGGAAGAGCCTTACAACGTGTGGGGAAGTCTTTGGCTCTGTTATGTATTTTGGAGGTGCTGGTTGCACTTAGAGGTTCATGATGTGGGCAGGACAAAGACCACAAAAACATCTTTTAATGCAAATTGCCTTGAGACACAGAGAGAGATCTCCAATGACTTGATATTGGGCATTCCAAGAGACCAACAGCTGTGTCTCACCAGTGTTCTGGGTGATCCAGCCTGCAGAAGGGCTCCTCTGTCAGGATCCCTCACTGCTGCATTTGTTGGTCTTTGTAGGTAACTTTTTTTCCTGCGGTCTTTGTTGATTTTATGTTGTTAGACCCGGTAACACACTTTTATCTTATCTGCCTTTTTCTCTTCTTTGCTTTCCATGTTGTTTGCCATTCCAGAATAAATACTGGAGGCCAGTGCACCGCGTTCCTCCCCCCCAGAGCCTGCAAATATTTGCAGCACAGCAGCCTCTGAGCCCCGAGACGTGAGCGGCGACACGAGGAGGTGCAGCCGAGGGCAGGGGCAAGGCCAGAGGGTGTGAAACCAGCACACGGCCCCCAGGGCAGTTGGCCTGGACAGTTTAGGAAGCACTTGCCTTGTCTTCAAAGCAGCAGGGAAATGGGGACTGGACTTTGGGGGCGTACGTGTGATGTGCACACGTGTGTGAGTTTGTGGTGAGGGGGGTGTGTGACACTGAGGGACTTCAGCCAGTGAACGTATAATGCATATAATGGATGTGCACAATGGTGTAAGTCATATGAAGAGCAGCTGAGGGAGCTGGGGGGGGGCTCAGCCTGGAGAAAAGGAGGCTCAGGGGGGACCTTCTTGCCCTCTGCAACTCCCTGACAGGAGGGGGGAGCTGGGGGGATATCGGGCTCCTCTCCCAAGCAACCAGCAACAGGACAAGAGGAAACAGCCTCAGGTTGTGCCAGGGGAGGTTTAGACTGGACATCAGGAAGACCTTGTTCATGGAAAAGGTGATCAGGCATTGGAAGGGGCTGCCCAGGGAGGTGGTGGAGTCCCCACCCCTGGAGGTGTCCAAGGAAGGACTGGACGTGGCACTCAGTGCTCTGGGCTGGGGGACAAGGTGGGCACAGGTGGCACTCACTGATCTTGGAGTTCTTTTCCAACATGAATGATTCTGTGAAAATCAGAGGGTCTTACAGCTCCATGATGAAGTCCCCAAAAATCTCAGAAAGGAATTATGTCTGGTGTTACCATAAATCTGCTCCCTAATTCACTTCCTTGTGGAAAGCATGTTTGTGCCAGTGATGTTCATTTGTGGTGGAGTCACTCTTCCCCCGTGGGGATGCACAGAAGTGTAGGTACCACTAGTTCTGTAGTTACTATTAGTTGTGTAGGTGTTGCTGGTAGAGACATGTGTGATTTCACCCTTTAAGGGCACCTCCCACTGTCCCCCTTGTTGACTCCCACCTCTCTCACCTCCCTCACCTTTGACTTGGAGCCGCCACTGGGTTCGCCAAGAGGGGGGTTTTTTGTGTTGGTTTTGGGGTTTTGCTGTTTGCTCACGGGTGCCTTTCCCCAGTTTGAAGTTTGAAGTTGCCTCCCGCCGGCCCCGGGGCCGGTGACCCCTCCGGGAGCTGTCGGGGCACCCAGCACACAGTGGGTCACCTCCATCCAGGGAGGCTGCTCCCTTTCCATCTGGGGCCGTTGGTCTGGACTGGATCCATCCTGCTGGCAGGGCTGATGGATGGCCTATTGACAAGCAGGGTGACCCTTGCTCAGCAGACTGACGTGCTCCCTCCTCACGGCCGGCGTTTGATGCGAATCAAAGAGGTGGTCAGGTCATCAGAACAGCCAATTAAAACGATAAAGAGGGAGGAGTGGAAGAGCAGGTTTTAACTCTTTCCACCCCATCGTAAACACCTTCATGAAGCGGAGCCGAAATGAGGCCTGGGAGGGGGGGCTAAAACCAAAGATCCATCTCTGTAAAATTTATCTGTGGGAACTCTTTAAAAATTGAGCAAGCAGAGATCAGGAAACAATTAACTGTCTATATAGTTGTCAGTTATTTAGGGCCTGGACTGAGACTGGATCAATTGCTTTCCTTTCCATTTTGTATTTTATTTCTGAACAGCAGATCATAAATTGGACAGTGAAATTCAGCATGGGGTAATGAATATATAATAGTACATCTCAAACTCAAAGGCTGCTTGGAAGACATGAATTTTCTATCATTGCAGTTGCTACCTGAAAAGGAGAAAGACACTCCCATTACAGTTGCTGGTAGCTGACAGCTGGCAGGAGGCAATAAATTTAGGAGTTATTTAGCATCAGCTTCTGAATAATGGCATCACAACATGCTCTTCACTTGAGGAACCTAATGAGGGAGAAGTGCTAGAGCTGGGAATTAGGAGTGCAGCTGGGATCAGGGATAATAAAAGGTCTCTGATCTGCCAGGAGCTGATGTTCATACCAGTGCAGGGTCAATGCCACTTACTTCAGTGTTAATTTGAGGGGCTGTGTTTTAAGACAATGCAGTCTTTCCTAAGATGCCAACAAAAATGCACTAGAACCAAGAGGTTTTTTTCCCCTGTTGAGCTTTAATCCACACTTGCTCTGAATTTTCCAGGGACCAGTTTTAATGGAAATGCCCGTAAAATAAAGATTGGATGAGAGTTAAGAGTAAGAATGTCACTTTTTGAACAATTCATCCCATCCCCACTCAGTTCCTGGTTCAGACACAGAATTTCAGGGCAGCATCATCACTGCTGTACTTCAGTTTCCAGCCTGTAAAAGGGGGAACAACTACCTTGTTTTCCCAAGAATGTCAAAATCTGTGAAACATAATAAGGCCAAAAGCTATCTTGGTGTCTTGAAGACAAAAAAAATCCCCCTGCCCTCCTCAGAAGATACCCTGCTATCCTTGAGTGCAGCACAAACTCCTCACAGACCGTCCTTCACCTGCTTGTACTTGTTCAGTTTTTGCTTTTATATCGTCATCTAACTAATGCAAAGGCATTGAATCCATTTTCTGACTGTTGGGTAAATGATGGTTAAGTGTCAGGAGATTTATTTAATTGTCTAGCTATTAAAAAAAAAAAAGATAGGTCTGCTGAGTGAAAGCTTTTATGCTTTTAAACGAGGTCTTGTTGTGATTAGAGTTTAAACAGCACTGATTTCCTCAAAAATGCATTGGCAATAATCTCTGGCTTGTTTGATTGTCCACATAACTGCACCACCCTCACTGCCAAGAAACTCATCTGACCCACCAATGATAAGAATAGCTATTTTTTTCCATTAAGTGTGCAGCAGATCTCATATTCAGGGCCAGGAACATCTTCATTAGGCCGTACGGAAAGTGAACACATTGTTCACAAAGCAGCCCCCAGAATAATGGACTGGAGAGACTTCAGAGGTGAGGGATGGAGGTTGTGGGGGTGGGAAAGGGGCTTAAAGCTTCACAAACCACAGACAGAGAGGATTTTAGTGGGATACGGGCAATTGATTCCCTTAAGTGTCTTTGAAGAGGCCGGTGTAGAGGTGGAGAAACTCGGGATGACTCACTGTAATCCTGCTTAGTCTCCTCACGGCGTTTCAACGCTCATTTTACTCTTTTCTAGTTCTTTAATGCTCCTTTTACTCTTTTCTATTTCTCTAATTCAAAAAGCCAAGAAAACAAAGCCCATTCAGCTGGCATGACCCAAACCCCCAGCACCACGGTGGCAGGTTCCCAAGGCGAGGTGATGACCTGGAGGTGGAACAGCTGCTCCTCAGTTTACCTGGATGTCTCAGAGACCACGGAACATCTGGGACGTTTGTGAAAGGCAAACAGGCCAAACCTTTTCTTTACAATTTTTTTCCACGGGAAATCCACTTCCCTGCTAGCTCTTGTCCCAAAATCTGTCGTGTGCCAAGCGTGCAGCTCAGGATGAGCTGCTTTGTGGGGTGTAAAGGGCCTGGCCTATGGAAAACACCTGTACCCACAAGCAAAGAGAGAGGTTTGCTCTGTCCTTTTTCATATCTTCCTAAATTTCCTATTCACTAATACATTTAGGCACTGGGAGCTACTGGTTCCAGGTGTCAGGCTCGGGTAGGATTAAGGCTGACACTTGCCCTGAGTCTCAAGCAGGAATATTAGCTTCCCATTTCTCATTGCCACCCCCCTGCCTGGGAAATCCCAGCCAGGAGATCCCCGTTGTGTCCTTGTCAGCACCCCATGCAGCAGAGGAGGGCTGTGTGTGAGCAGGGCTAAGCTCCTTTCCCTCCTCCTTGCCCTCATCACTCCTAAGTGCCATTTAGCCATGTTGGCTGCCTGCTCCTCCCGGCTGGACACCGATTACTCCCTGTTGGAGAGCTGTCAGTAAGGGGAAAGCCATCCATCCCGGTGGGAAGTAATCTCACCCAGCAGGGGGGCACCTCTTTCCAGCCAAAACAACGTGGCTTTGACAGGCCTGATGTATTTATTATCTTCTTGGGGCAGAAATGCTGCCACAGCAGGCAGGAGGGCGGGGGGGAGGATGCTGCTGGTGGCTTGGAAGGGAAAACAAGGAGTACAAAGTGCCAAGGAGCTGCCTGCAGGGAGCAGGGGGCTGGAGCTGGATGGTCTTTTAAGGTCCCTTCCAACCCAAACCATTCTGTGTTTCTGTGATGAGGAAAAAGGATACATAGGGTACATAGGAAAGGGAAAGCTTATTGTAAAAAGGTGATTCCTTTTCCTCATGTGTTTAACTCATCTCCTGAACTTGAGAGGAAGCAAACAGCAAGTGAAAAAAGAGAGGTTGCAGCCCAAGTGGGCTGTGGTGTCCCAGCCAGGTTGAGCCTTTGGGGGTGGGTTTGAATGGCTGTCACCCTGATGAGGAGCATGAATCCCTGCCTCTTGTGCTCCTTGTCCTCGGGGCTTGGCTCCCCTTTGGTCTTACACTGTGCTCTAGGAGGGTTTCACACAAGTGCTGTTTGTCAGGTGGTTTG